TTCTAGGAGTTAAAAGTCGTGAAGGAAAAGGAAGTTAGATGATTAATTTAAGACTATGTTTTGCAAATTATCCGAAAAGATATTTGCGAATATATATATATATATATATATATATATATATATATATATATATATATATATATATATTATATATATATATATATATATATATATATATATATATATATATATATATACTAGGTGTAAAACCCATGTATTATATAGGTTTAATTAAAAAAAATATATAAAATTTTAACAATTTAAAAAGTTTGAATTTATAAGAAAAATGAGAAAAATTTGAATTACTAAAATTTTTTGAGACTTTAACGTATTGAATCGATTATATATATAAAGTTTTTTCTAATTAATACTTTACATATATATTACCTTACACATTAAATGTGGAATTTTAATTTAATAAAATAAAAAATACAATAAAATGATAAGTGGAACATAAAAAATTTAAAAATTCTAGAAAATGTCATGTGTCAAAATGAATGAGAAGACAACATGTGGCAAAAAAAACCTTCATTTATTATATATATATATATATATATATATATATATATATATATATATATATATATATATATATATATATAAATATATATATATATAGAAGGGAATATAGAATATTGAGTTTTTTTTATTTATAATAAATAAAGGGAATACTGTGAAGATTGTTTAAAAAGTTTAATAAGCCCGTTGAAATGCTAGTATTAGTAACTATTTAAAACGCTAATTTATAATCTACTTTTCGATTTATCAAACATAACAACCTAAATATGGACATCTAATTATGTACGGCAAAGCAGTTGTAATGCCCGATTCCTGGTAAGTATTTTAAATAAGATTTATTCGGTCTTGTGCAAGAACTCGATGAGTTGGAGGCCCCAAACTCGTCGAGTAGGAATGGATTTTTGGAAGCGGATCTTAAAGTCTACTCGGCGAGTTAAGAGACTCGACTGAACGAGCAGGGCTGCCCGAATGAAACCCTAATTTTTATGGTTTAACACCTTATTTAATGACCTTAATTCTTCATTGTGGCCTCCCTCATCGCACCTCAGTCTATTAAAACCCTAATATATGATTTTAGACCATTTGGAGTGTGTGTGTGAGTGTAAAGAGAATGTTTCCTTGGTGCTTTCTTGAAGAAGTTGAAGTTGAAGGTGCTTGGTTCAAGGGAGAGGCTTTGGATCAAGGGATTTCTCTGTTAAGGCTGCCGTATTAAGGTATAAAGTCGAGAACTTGGTTGTTTGTGTGATAGACCTCTTCTTTGAGAATGTTAGGGTCTTTAGCTGTTTATTTGGGGTCCATTCTTGAATATGGGCATGTCTCAAAGTTATGACTCTAGATCTAGACGTCCATGGCCTAAAGAGACTTAAAGATGCCATCTTTATCAAGTCTTGGCCCATCTCCATGCCATAGACCTCTTATAAAGCTTACATTTGGTGTTTTTAGCTTCATACATCATGCATGGACGTAAAGTTTGCAACTTTATGTGATATATTTGTTGGATTAGTGTCTAAGTCCATAACTATTTTGGTATGTACTTGACCCGATGGTGCATGGTCCTTTTGGGTTGCCTTCACCAAAGCAACTTGATAGGATGAATTATGAAGAGAAAGGATTAATTATGATTTATTAATATATTATGAGAATAATATATTAAAGAATAAATCATATTGTTTGATAATATTAGTCAAGAATTAATTAATAATTAATTTTGTGGCTAAAAGAGATTAATTAAACTTAAGGGCCTGGAAATGTAATTATAAGATAATTGCATTTGGGCTATGGATCACCTTGGAATAATAGGTTGGACGAATTCTATGGGGAAACCCATTAGAATCGTCCAAGGGATATTCTAAAAGGGTCCATGGGCTGCTTAGGGCTTAAGCAGTCAAATTAGGGTTTCCTAGTTGAAAACGCTAATAGCCTACATGTATATATAGTACCCTTAAACCCCAAAAACGTGGCTAGGTGTTCCACTAGGGCTTCTGGACGTTTTGGGCAGCCTCCTCTCTCCTTATTCTTCATCCTCTTGCTCTTGGTGTTTGTGAGCCATTAGAGGAGTGACACTTGTGACTCTAAGCTTTCTACAGCCATTACAAGGAGGATTTAAGATTGTTATTGCTACATAACAATCAAAGGAAATTCTCTAAACCCTAATTTAAGTTTATAATATGTTAGATCTAAGATTGTAAGTCTTGGATACATTGAATATACAATAGAGAAACCTAGATCCCAACAATAGGTTTTGCATGAGCACATAAGATGTTCTTATGGCTAAAACCCATCAGTGGTATCAAAGCCTTGATTGGTTTCTGTTGTATGTAATGCTATGTTGAATTATTAACTGAAAATCAAATTCTGGCCTTCTGTTCGAACTGACTCGGCGAGTCACTACATGGACTCGACAAGTCTTCCCTACTCGGCGAGTTCTAATGTGTGACTCGGCGAGTCGGAGCGTCAGATAGACAGAATTTTGGATTTTATTGTTGTTTTGCTTTAGGATAATTACCATATTCGTTTTAAACTTATAAAATACGATTTTTAATGTTTCTTAAAGATTATCCTTGCCAAAACACAAGATAATTACCAGTTGATTAGATAATAACTTCCTTATATGATTAAAGATTGATTATTTGTATTAATTGGGTAATTTATCTTGCAAGAAATTGAAATTAGGTCAAATATAGATAATGACAAAATTAATTGTTTAATTTCTATTATTTGTTATTTGATCCTTGTGTTGTGAAAAAGTTTCATTTGTGCCCATGTAAGTTTATGGTTTAAATTTGAACTTAAAGGTTTTGTTTTGAAATTTAAATAGTTGAAACCCTAATGTTTTGAAATGTTTCAAAACTTTCCCTCAAGTTTTGGAATTTAAAAGTTGATTAAAAGTTTAATTTAGAAATGTTCAATTCTAAAACCCTAGTATTGTTTTGAAAAGTTCAAATCACACCCTTATGGTTTCATTAATTAATTAAAGTGTATAATTATTAAATTTTGACCACCTTGTATTTTAAAACTGTAAAATACACCCTATACTATATATAACATTAAAAGTCTAATATATATGTATGAGTAAAAGTCAGTCTTACCGTTAGTAGGCCTCATTCACGAAGCTGGTCTATAAGGGATGTTTAAGGAAATTGCCTATAAAATGGCGATTGTATGGGTATCCACTCTTAACCACCGCACTCTTGACTAGTGGAGGGTCGTTAGCCGAACGGGTAGGATATGACAGAAACCTTCCATTATAAGTATAATGAAGTACAAAAGTAACTAAATGATTTTACAAATTCCCAATCTTAGTTACTTTAGGCAAAAGTGAATTGATGCAATTCCATGAAATTACACTTTGTGCCCTTGCGAAGACGTTAGTGGAGCGTGTGTGGTTAACCGGCACACTAAATGGTTTAAGCAAAGGTAGCAAAGGGTGACTCAATGTTTGCCATAGTTCGGTGGAGCATGTATGGTTAACCGGAAAATCGAATAGGTGACTATAACATGTGGGGGCACCATGTAAGTCTGCATGGTTATTCACACCCGCTTTGTGATCCTTGGTATCCCAGTC